TCTGGCTGGGGAAGCTTTTTTTCCTTGTCCATTTGAGCAGAAAGATTCTCCCAGAAGTTGAATGTTCACTGAGCCAGTGTTTCTCATTTCCAGCCTTCCATCTGGACTTCTGAAGGTTCCCTTTTGCTAGCTAAGATCCCGAGGCCATGTTGGCTGTAAGCTGTTATTGCTGAATGCTTTCCATGATCCAGGAACTGTGCTAGACACTCGGGATATGACAGACGGACACATCCTTCTTGTTTTCCCAACAGAAGTGAACTCTGCATAGAGTTCACCTCAAATTCGCAGGCACTTGCAAGCTGTGCTACGACTAGGTACTTTTATTTGGGAGTATATGGGGAGTGCGTGCATCAGAATGCTTCCAGTTAGGAACAAGCGGCTCTAACTTAAGATGGATTCTTTGAAAAGAAAGTAGTGCATAGCCCCCAATGGAAGGAAGGCTGTCCTGGCTGCAAGACACCAGTTCTGACTTGATTTCTTTGAAATTACTTGGTTTTGCCACTTCTGTGTGTTTTGTAATTAGACTAACCTCTTCTGTGGTTTCTGAGCGGTCACGAATGGTCTCAGACCATGTCCTCATGTAGATGCCTCTGTGACCAGAAGTGTAAGCACCTTAATGTCATTTATCACAGCTGTTGCTGGGGCCCCTTGGCAGAACTAGGTTGACTCAATCTGGGGAAGTTACATACTGCATGTTCAGATAGTCAGATTAGCTTGGCTCAGGCCAGCAGGGGCCTGTAGGCCCCAGGCCCTTTTGCCTGGGCAAATATCCCCCCACAATCTAGTGTCAAATGGGAGGGGGGTTAGAGGGAGAGAGAGAGAGAGAGAGAGAGAGAGAGAGAGAGAGAGAGAGAGAGAGAATGAGGCTACTTTCTAAAGCACATAACCAGAGTAGATCTTAGTTTGCTGTGGGAGTCCCACCTTGGGCCAGTATTTTTGGAACATATAATAGGAAGAAGATGGTGTTACACTGGGAGAAATCAAGAAAGGGCAAGGAGAAGTCATCTGCCAAGGGAAAACTTGTGCTTGGCAGATGGCTGGTGTTATCAGGGCACCATTACAAGGACATTTCCTCCCGGTCCAGCAAGAAACATATCTGTACTTTGCGAAAAGAATCCGTGAAACTTTGAAAGGAATGATTAGTTTAGCCAGGAAGGATATGTAGAAGTTTCCAAAGACAGCATTTGTGTGGCATAGCTATTTCCCCCTAATTGAAACACTCTCTCCTATGGGGAGGTGTGAGCATTGAAAAGCTCAGGATGTTACTGGAATTTAAGAGCCATGGGAAACTCACAGGCTTCTAAGTTTCACGAGACCCCACCTGGAATTACTTAAGCTGTCATGATTTCTGGAGCCAGAGTTTTCACTTACAGAGCTGCCTGCACGGTGTGCAGGGAACTCTAGGGATGCAGCTTTCTTTGGTCATCGTGTGTGCTAAAGTGGGCTTTGCATGATTCAGCTGCTTTGAATCATCCTTGCCCCTGCAGGTGAACCTCAGAACCTCATTGGCTCACTACACCAGACTTCAGTAAAATCATCTTTGGTCTATAGTTGGTGCTCTACCTTAGGGGGAGGGATAGATAGTCACATCTCCCCTGAAAAGTCACAGAACAATGTTTCAATTTTGCAGAAATTTAGTGTTCTTTAATTTTGTTACAAATTTCAAAGGACCTTGCTACTGAACAAAAGAAATGAGTAAACTCATGTCTGACAGAAAGGGATGATTTCTGACCCGACAGTCATAGAAGTTCCAAATCCTTTGGACATATCAATTACCTTTTCAAGTGAAGACATTGCTTCTTTTGGGTAACACACATTATAATTGCATTTATTAGTCTTTCATTTATTTTAATCAGTTTAATCATATAAAATAATGTTCACATTCTTTCCATTCTTGATTTCCACTGTTGAACCACTAAATTCTAAAACAAACCAGCAGTTCCGCATCTGTCTGGAAGGTATGCTTTGTTGTGCCACGTTTCTGGAGTCACACATCCATGATGTTCCAAGCTCTTCTGCAAAATAGGAAGAAAAATGATTTTTAGCATTCTGCATGAAGCTGAATTGCCAAATAAAGGAAAGGACACCACATTTTTAAAAGAGGGAGACTCCCTCAATACAATCCGGAAAGTGTAGGGTGTGTTTATATGTGTGGACCCTCGGATGGGTGCTGGGAGGACGAACGGTAGAGGCGACAGAGGTTGAGTGCCTGTTCAAGCATGACTGATCTTTCCTTACAGTTTCCTATTCCTGTCTGGGCTTTAAACCTTTTTTTTCTCCTTCAGGTAATGGAAGTTGTGTAACCGGTCTACAGATTCTTCTGCGGTGTAGCTAGTGCTCCTTCATGGGACCATCCTTACAGTCTGTTATCATGTGTTCATCGTCATCCCACTTTTTTGCGTGGGAAAGTTTTTGGTTTCTAGAACGTAAGAGGGATCTTCCGGAAAGGATTTCTATCTGCTACTACCGGGGGATGCAATGCGCATGCCTACCAGCCATATAGTAAACTGGTGTCATAATTGTGCATCTGTTTTAAATCATTATGCAAAATAACAGAGTTTGGGGGTGCAAATATCTACAGCATGCTTTACCCAAAATTTCTTATATAAGCATGTTTATCCCTTCTCCATGTCTACATTCTCTCGGCTCATTTAAGCTAAAGCAACATCTTCAGCAGTCCCCTGCAACGGATGGTAGTGAGATTTATCTCTGCTTTCCTCAGAACCATAGTGTAAACCTTTGGGGGAGTCGCATTGTTTGGATCTCGCATGTCCCTCAAAGGCGCACGTGTTAAAGGACTGTTCTAGAAGGTAGCTCTATTGGACCAACTGAGAAGTCACTGGGCGACAGAGAATGGACTGAAGGGCCCTGGACTCTGCCTTGTTCACTTTGCTCTCTGGATCACGGTGAGGTAGATGCTCCCATGCTCCCACTCCCACTATGGTGTGCTCCCTTGAGGATGACCCAAAACCAGGACAGTGGATCAGAGGCTGGAACCTCAAAGGCTGTGAGGCAAATATACACTTTCTCTTCATGGGCTGATGGTGCTAAATTGCTATGGTGAAGAGTGGGCAAGAGTGGGCGGTACTTCCGCCATTAGATTTGATTGTTCGAGTCCTGAACTTTGTCTTCTATTCTTCTCTCAAAAATGTTACCAATCATATTGCCGTCACAGTTTCTTTATTGATGTTGTTTTTGTTTTTTGTTTGTTTGTTTGTTTTGAGACAAAGTCTCCCTATGTACTCCTAGTTGGCCTTGAACTTGCAATGTGAGCAGGTAGCCTTTAAATCACAGAGATCCACCACCTGTCTCTACCTCCCCAGTGCTGAGATTAAAGGTGTGAACCACCGCATCCAACACTCATGCATATCTTAAGAGAACAGGAGGGTAAGTATTTGAGAAACGATCATTGGAATGTTGTCCTTTAGCAAAACGCACACTTCGTGGGGTGGTCTTTGAAAACCTGTCTGGTTCTTGTTTTGGTTAAATGTTTTTGCTGTTTACCACCACTTACGGTGCTGCTACGAGATGATTGGACGATGATTGGACGGCATAAACATTAGCTCACTCAGGTGGACATCCTTCCTGTATATTCTTAACAAATTCAATGGGGCCTGAGAGTCCTGAGTCTCAGAATTCCAGAGTTGCAAGAAGGGGCAGCCAGAGGCTGAGGACTGGGCACATTCTCTTCTCTTCATTGCATCCTGAATGGTGGCTCACATGTAGCCCTCTATATCACTGTCACTGGCTGGCCACGTGGTCCCCTCCAGCGTCTATGGCTTTCAGCAGAGCCTGACTGCTCTTCTCCAGCACATTTACATACAATGCTTACATATGTGTCTGTACGGCCAAGCTTTTACCCCCCCCCCGCCCCCATTTAAACATGCAGGCTGTTTACTCGCATGGAGCACATTGCAGGAGCGGTTGTGCCTGGAGTTCCACCCACTGCAGCCCCACTGGCGCCGCGCTTTGTCTCGCCCCGAGTCACCATTACAAGAGAGATGATTGCGCGGTGGGCACCTGCCCGCGGGGCCGTTCCAAAGCCCGTGAGTTTCTTGTGAGCGCGGAGAAGGCAGGGTCTGCTATTTAGGGATGTCCTGCTTCTCACTGCGTCCCTTCCTGTGGTCAGGGATGGGGAGAGGGTGACAGGAGGGCGACACCCTGCCCTGCCAAGGCGGAGTAGGTGCTTGGGTGTGGCCTCGAAGATTAATTTCAGTTGGTAGTCCAGCCCCAGAGTTTAGGTGAGGCTGAGGCTGGGGTTTCTTACCCTCTGCAGGAAACGGCATTCCTGGGAACACATCAACATTCTCCCGGCTTTCTCTTTTCTTTCTTTTAAAAATATTAAGCAGTTCCCCCAGTTCTGCTGCCTGGCTCTTCCTGGTTTGGGAACACACATACACACCCCGTGCGCGAAGTTGCTTCTACTATGCCCCAAGTTTGTGTTCCAGCATGGAGATTAAGGTAGGGGAATGATAAGCTCCTGCCCACTGACTTACTGAAAGTCAAGTCAAAACTGACCAGCTCCAGGCCCAGAAACAGACCAAAAGCTTTGCTCTCTGAGCATTGGCTTCCAATGATCAACAATTTCCTTGTGCTTTCGGGGGCCCGGTCCAAAGGGCGGCCAAGTGCGCAAGGCACAGTCACACCCGGTGACTAATTCAGCACTGGCGCCTTTCTCTTTTCCTGGGCTACAAACTGACTTCTCCAAAAGTACTGCACCCCCTTCCCGGGACCCGCACCTCAGCGGCGCCTCCGCATCACACCAGGAGCTCGCCCAGCCTTGCACAACGCCCTCCTCCCCCGCGCTCCGTAACTCCCTCCCTGCGCATCGCTTGTACTCTCGCCACGCCGCCGCCCGCCACTGCAGCATCAAGGGGAGGAGGAGGTGGAGGAGGACCGCAGCGTGGCAGCCCGGAGCCACTTTCCCGCCCCTCCTCTCGTCGCTGCCTCGTTCAAAGGAGTCACCACTGAGCGCGCTGCAGGAGAGAGTGGCAGACCGAGGCAGCCCCGGGCAGCAAAAGAAGGGGTGCCCGCGCGGCGACGGCTGCATTGCAGACACCGCTCAGGGTAGGGGAACCCCGGCGGCTGAAACGGTGAGTAAGGAGGCCCCCCGCAACCTTGGCGAAAAAATCGCTCTCTGCTAGACTCCCCTTCTGGACCGGGAAACCGAGCGTTGCAGTCAGGGAACTTTTTGCAGCCTTGCAGAAGCGCAACTAGCTCAACTTCGCCGGCTCTGGCTCCGGGAAAGTGGCTGCAGGTGGGGAAGGCTGCTCGCTGGCCCCCTGTGTTGGAATGGAGAGGGGGAAATCTTACGGAGGCAGCGGAATGACCCCGGTTTACTGGGCTGTGGCAAGTCAAAGGCGCACTATGCTTGGGATTCCGTGGCAGGTGGGTGGGCAGCAGCAGGCGTTCAGGGTTGCTCCTGCGTTAATCTCCAGGTTTCTTTACTGCGGGGTGGGAGACAGGGGGGCTTCAGGAGGGCCAAGAGAGACTATTCAAATCAAGCAGCCAGGAGCGCCCGCCATCACCAAGCCATCACTGCAACCTCAACTTTTCTGCGGGGATCCCTCTGCAGATGTGCGGGTGATGGGAAAGCATGGGGAGTCGCGGTCGACTCTACGGGAGGCTAATAGAAACCCCGTGAATGTTCAAACTGTTCTACAAATCCCCCAAAACCCGCGAGTGACATCTGTACGCCCGCACCAAAAGGCTGAGAGCAGGGAAGCGTGCGGGCTGTGGCCCTTTGTAAGAATCCACACTTCTTACACTGCACCTCCATTCAGCAAAACACTATGGAGCGTCCGCTATGCGCCTGGCGCAGCAAAGCGCGTCTAAGAGTGAGGGGTTCTTGGGAGAAGGAACGTCCCCAATAAAAATGATGGTGATGGTGGTGGTGGTGGTGGTGGTGGTGATGATGATGATGATGATGATGATGATGCCAGCAACAACTACTACTATCGATTTAAAGCCAACAGGAAATGGGGCGACAGCCCACCATTTTCTCTTGGTGGACTTTCCCCCTTCAAACTGGATCTAGAATTGGGAGTACTTTCTCCCGCGTTGCTGGGACTCCTCTATCCGACCCGGGAAGATTATAGAATACCGGAATAAACTTGACTCGGGCAGCCAGCACCCCACCACAGATGCAAGGAACATCTCCGTGGGCGTGCGGGAACCTCAGTCGCCACGCGCGGGGGCGGAGAGGGAGGAGCTGAGTCACCAGCTCTGGAGGTACCGCCTGGACCACGAGAGCGATGGGGGTGGGGGGGGGGGCGCTCGCGTCACCCTCTACGTGTGGGCGTGATGTAAATGCTGCCCCGCGTTGGGGCGGGCGCAGCGGGAGGGAGGGCTAGGAGACCCAGTCTGTCTGGGAGCGCGTGTGTGCGTCAGAGGCTCTGGAGTGATGGATGCCCCGCGGCGCGCCCTGTGCAGAAAGCAGCAGACTGGGGGACCGGGGTGGGAGGATAGACTGCGGCAGGGGCGGCAGGGAAAACCAGGCAGGACAGAGGCTGCTGGCAGGGGAAGGGCTCCGCAGTGCGCCACAGTGAGAGAGCTGGGAAGGTATCTCAGCACCAGGGCTCCCCTGGGTACCCGGAGATGAGGCATCTTTTAAGTCTCAGAGGGATGCCCTGATATTCCTTTCTCCCGCCGGACTCCTTTCCTTCCTGCTTGACTACGGAATTTTTTTTTAATTTTTTTTAGTTTAGTTCTTAGTGAGAGCCAGTATCTCAGAGCCTACTAATTTTATCTTAGCCAGCTTCGAAAGGCCTAGTGCTCACCACAAGTTTCAAGCGGAAGCTTTCGTATTTGAGTTCATCAGGTTCTTTAACAACGATCCGTTTCTTGTGCCTTTAGGCAGAGGCCTGGCGTCTAAGTGGGATTTGAGAATGGTTTAGTAAATAACGTGGCGCTTTTTTTTACCATGAAAATACGTGCTAAAATCACTGCTGATTTTGCGCTCATTGATGGAAAATTAAAAATCCAATCCCCCCACCCCTCATTTTCTTTAAGACCACATTCTGGGAAGTCGATAGCAAAGCCTTGATTGAGTGAGCCCAAATCTGCAGTGTGTGTGAGAAAAGGGATAAAGGGGGTGGCAGACTAGCAAGGGGGAAAGAGGAAAGGGAGAAAAGCAGTAATCAGGAAACCTAGACAAAGATCTGGCTTCCCAGTGTCTCCAGAGATGTTGCTTGGTCACCAGGTACCTTATGGCTGCCATCCATCCTCCAGAGCAAAGAATGATGAAAACCAGTTCACGGCAGACCTTTTCTCCCCACAGAGTTGTGTTCAGACTGCCTTGGAAGCATAAACTGTGTAGGAACAGAAAACAGGAAATAAACCCTTTCCGGGGAAAACAGTCTTTTAAAAAAAATTATGGGGACTTTCCCAGCACTGTTACCTTAATGGAATTTGGTGTTCAGTGTCAACACACGCAGACAACGTTTTTTTCCTGGCACTAAACTAAAAGCAAACGCCATTAGCTGTTGTCTGGAGAAGGCGGAAGAAGAAGGAAGGGTCGGAGGACATCTGACTACTTTGGGTGATGGAGTGGACAAATAAATTGGCTTGTCATGGCTCGATGGCAGGGAAAGTCGCTTCTCCGGCCTGACCAGTAGATTAATCTAAGAGTTTTTAGGTAAAAATTGTGCTTGTTCAGTCAGTTCCTTAAATGTAAATGATGCTTCAGAGATGAAGGTGCAGTTCCTAACCTCAGGGAGATTACCGGAAAGATGTCATGATATGCCAGATGTCACGTGGCCACCAAAACCCCATTTTCTTTCTTTTTTTGAGGGCCGGAGGTTGAGACAGGGTTTCTCTGTAGCTTTGGAGCCTATCCTGGAACTAGCTCTTGCAGACCAGGCTGACCTCAGACTCACAGAGATAAAAACCCATTTTCTTATGATTAGGAATGTGGCTCTTATTCTGAAATAAATTTGTTGATGACGTGTTTTTGTATAGAAACATCTGATACGTGAGTGTGTCGTCTTGGCCAGCTCACTCTTGCTGTTCTTCTCACCACACCTAGTGGTGGATTTCTTGGGATGGTCAAAATGAAAATACTCTTTAGAGTCTATGCAGTTGCATTAGGGGAGAAGCCACAACCCACCAATATGTTGTCCTGCTTCCTGATGGCTGGGCTTTCTGTCTGACACAGGCTCATGGAGCACATGTCTGTTTAAACTGATCCTTTAGTTCTAGTCTGTTTGCTAGCATCTGAAAGGCAGATCCCTCCCTCCTTCCCTCCCTCCCTCCCTTCCTCCCCGACTACCTGCAGTTTTCATATATTACTGCAATGGTTTTGTATTTCTTTTCCTTTTAAAAACCTCTTTACAACTGAGAATCCCATGTAGAATTTTTCTGCAGATTGAGAGTCTTTCTTGAGACAGCTAAGGATAACAACAGGATGAGGGTACCATTTTAACTCTTGATAGAAATATCTTAATAGTGTAAGAAGACACCAATTTTTTTTTTTTATCACAAGCACTTCCTCCACCATGAGGGTCAGTTAATAACCATCGCCTATCACAGCCACTTACATTCCTGAGCAAGTAGAACAATAAGAGGTAAATAAATAGATTGGGTGAACTGGGTAGGTTGGCCCTTTCTAGCCTTAAAATGTTTCAGGCCAGGAAGTAGAAAAATAGATGATGAGTTATATTTCAAATTTGAATTTTGTTTATAAGTAGAATATCAGACATATTTTTGTTAACTCATTGAATTTTACATGGAGCTGTTTTTAGTAGAGAAAGTGGTCCATTCAGTTCTGTGTTGTGCCCTTTAGAATATGTGTAGCCTAATTTCTAATGTAGCCATGTTTAAAGCTTAAATTGTGCCTCATTTTGTTATTTTCTTTGTTTATTTATTCTGTTATTTTCACAATTAAAATAGGATAAATGTTTCACTTCTTCATCTTTTGGTTTTGCAGATATCCTATGGAGTACTACTACTTTATATGATACCATGTGGGGTTTCCCCACTTTTAAAAAGCTGTGGTGAAATAGATATAACATAATGTAGTATTACCATCTTAGAGGTACAGTTTAGACATCAGCTATATTAGTATTCAGGCTGTTGTGCCCCACCACCATTCAGAAGTTCTCTCTCACCTCCCAAAACTCCAACCCTGCACCCCTTGAATGATAGTTCCCCATTCTTTTTCTGGCAGCTGACATCCATATGCCACTTTTTGTCTCTATGATTGTGACTAATATCTTATGTAAATGGGATTGTGTGTCATTAACCTTTTCATGATTGTCTTATTTCTCTTGGCATAATTTCCCAAACGTTTTCTCCATGTTTTAATATGTTTTAGAATTTCCTCCCTCACTAAGGCCAAATGATATCCCGTTGTGACCATAGATCACGTTCTGCTGGTCTATTCAACTATGGACACTTGGAGTACTTTTATACTTTAACATTATGAATTCTGATTTCCTAACTTGGTATATAATTGTTCTTTTGGGCCCATGCTTTCAATTCATTGGAGCATATATCCAGAAATAGAATTGCTGTATCGGTATTTTTATTATATTTTTTATGTTTTTAGGAACTGGTATACTAGCTTCCACAGTGGTCATAACATTTCCTTCTAAAACATTGGTTCTCAACCTTGTTAGCGCTGTGACCCTTTAACACAGTATCCTCATGTTGTGGTGACCTCCAACCATAAAATTACTTCTGTTGCTACTCCATAGATGTAATTTTCTATTGCTATGAGCTATAATGCAAATATCTGCATTTTCTGATGGTCTTGGGTGACTCCTGTGAAATTATCACTCAACCCCCAAAGGGATCATGACCCACACGGTGAGAAATGCTGTTCTATGATGAACAAGGGTGACAATTTCTTTTCTCTATAACCAGTATCATTCGTTTTCTTGTTTTTTGTTCCTACTTACAGGTACTTACATGTACATGTGTGTATGTACATGGAACCCAGAGGTCAGGGTTAGGGTCTTTTCAGTTATGTTTTTTGGGGAAAGATGGCTCACTAACCCTGGTGCTCACTGGTTCAGCTAGACCGGCCAGACAGCTCCACGGATCTTGCTATCTCCGCCTACCCAGCTCTGGGATTCTATGTCCATGCCACTGC